TTCATACTAGGGGTACGTCTAGACTACATGCCTCTGTCGCCAGAGGCATGTAGATTAGGCTACCAGACATAGTAAGCTATCAGACATTGTCAGCTCAGCGCGTCAGCCATGTAAATTTAAATGAAGCGACGATTATTTAAATCGCCGCTTCATTTTACTATGTCTGGTAGCCTAATCTACATGCCTCTGGCGACAGAGGCATGTAGTCTAGACGTACCCCTAGTATGAAAGAGCTGCCACTATCATTGCCCATAGGTTGAAATAGCAGCCATGGGAGTCTATGCAGGAACCCCAGTAAACAGCTGGATTTTGGATATAAGAAATAGATTTCACCTCCAAAAATCTCTCACTCGACCCACTTAAAGCATAAATACACAGATTTTATGTAGGTGTAATAGATTTCACCCAAAAATATTATGTAAGTTATTTTAGTATGGGCCTATGTGAGAGAGAAATTAAGTGCATGCTTGACAATCTTTTTGTAATTCTGAAGTCACTGAGAAATTGTATCATGAGAATTGAAAGAGTATTAACAAGGGTCAATTAGTAATTCTTAGATAAATATATTTCTACCCTTCCCAATACCTGCTCTTTATTGTGGCATACAGTTAGTGCGAACCTCAAAATATTCAGCAATATCTGGAAATTCCCATGTGTTAGTGAGTGTTATTTAAACATATTCTTACCACCTTAGCATCAATACATTTTTTAAATCACTGATTAATGAACAAATATTAAAACAAAGCAATACAGCACATTCACAGCAGTCCACAGGAAGATGAAAGAGAGGAGCATCTGAGGAGCAAAGTTTTACATTATTTATTAGAAGGTCTGAAGTTCTTAGGGGACAGGCATACTGTTAATATCTGAGTTTAGTTTACTGATCTGTGGTTGATAAACTTATATAGCAATGTCATTTGAAGATCTTCCCTGATCCAGGGGAGTGATGATGAGAGAGAAATGGGAAAGCTGATAACTGAAGTGTCAGTTCATGGCAGCTGTTAAGTAAAAGATAATTATGGAGAGGGACATCTATTCCTCAGTACAAGTGCACTTATTCCAGGCTACAAGCCAATAAACCATTACACAAGTTAAAAATGCTGGACACATTAATATCACAATGTGACTTGAAGCAACAATACCTTCCAACATTAAAAGCAACAGAAACTCACA